TGACAATATGAAAACAATGATTTTCTGTATAATACACAAGCGTAGGATCCACATTAGCTACTAACTATAACTTGTAAAAAGAATTATTAAATATTAGTTAAACCTTCTTTGAGGTTCACGTTACTTTCTTTTAAAATATATACATTTTGATTAATTATTCCAAAACATTAAGCAAGTAATTGAGATCACAAACTTTTTATACCCCAAAAATTACCTTAAAATCATGCGATAAATATAAGCCTCTCTATTAACTTTTAAAGCGGCCCTTTAAATTTTTAAAATATTTTTTAAAAATAATTTTTTAATAAACTTTAAATTTACCTCCCAAAAAATTACCGTCCTATAATGAGGAACATTTACAGCCACTGTAATCATTTTTGAAATAGGCCATTTAAATTGATTATTATGATGATTTTATTTATCAAGTCGTCTTCCAAAAGTCTTAAGTTATAACGTTTCAAATTTAAATTGTATTTTAGAATAATATTCAATTTAAAGTTATAAGTTTCAAAACCCTTTAAAATAAGAGGGGAAATGAAATATATAAGCAAAATAAATAATACAAAAAAATTTTAATTTGGAACTCATTTATGCACTTGCTATACACATACTTCCATCATCTTTATGAATAAATTAAACTTGGGTAACTATTTTTCGTAACCACTGTGCCTGGTCTACTTTGTAGCCCCTTCTGCTGACGGCGCTCCATCAACTGCATTTAGCTGTTCGCTTCGTTGGGCATGAGAAAAATGTCACCTCCACAGCCCCGAGTCCAAGGCATAAAGCCCGGGGGTTCGGGATTTGGGGTTCGGGGGCTTGGGACCGAGACAGGGACAATTGTCTGGTGCTGTCCGCTCGTCATTCCGGCATTCAGATGCCTTTTTTGGCCTGCGAGGAGAATATGTCTAGGAGAATATGTCTCTCGACACCTTTCGGTCGGGGCTTTTGTTGTTGCAGCTGCTGCCCCGAGATATTATGTTATTATGGCAATTATAGTTACACGACTTTGGCGGCATCTATGGCATTTTTGGCCCGACGACAGCTTGGCATGTCTGCATGTCTGCATACACATATATCCCCGGGTTTATGCCCCGACTTCTATCCCAGATTCCCGCAGATAAGAGAAAGGCAGGCAGACTGCATTGCAATTACAAACATTTTAATGCAATTAACACACACCTGAGACGGGCTGCAAAAGGGGGGGTTCGGAGGAAAAGAGGAGGACCATCTCATTTGCCTGGCTCTTTTGCAATCCGAAACTTCCCAGCCCGAAAAAAAAATCAACAACTGCAACAAAATAAGCAACTTCAAAAGCCGAAAGGCGACATTCGGTGCGTGTGTCAGTTCCCTGGGCCAATCTCTTGATGACGCCGCCACCGCTGCAGTTACCTGGTTCCCCTCCCGATCCCCGATCCCTGGTCCCCATTCCCATTCCCCGCCACCCTTCACCACCTCATTTGTGAGGTTTTCATTATGCCCTTCAAAGGGGTATGCAAATGTGGCAGAGAGGTTCGTCCATGGTCTATGGATTGTGGATAAAACTCACCAGTTTATGGGGTTTGAAGAAATGGAAAAGCAAAACGATAACTCAATTACTTTAGTACATGTTCTTAAAGTTTATTTTGATTTTGTTGGATAGAAAACTTAGGAGCTACATAGAGCATACATACACCAACCTCATTTTTTTAACCATTTCCAAAGAACTCAAAACTTCTTAAGTAAATAAACACCTGTAACTAACACAACAGAAAAAGTAAAAGTTTGAAAAGTGCGTAAACAAATATGATACTGTGCTTACCAAAACAATGAACTTATGGATTAACTTTTTGTGATCTATTTTAAACTTACAAGGCCGTAAGAAGTTGATTTATTTATTTTGTTCTGATGTTTCCATTTCAGGTTTGTTTTTTAGTAAAAAAAAAAACAAACAGAAAATGTGTCTAAGAAGTCAATTACTTCGTTTATTCTTTTTAAAACTTGAAAAACTAAAAGGTTTTTTAAATCCAAAATTTAAAAATAATTTTAAAATTTAAAAGAGAAAATTAAACTATGAAAACAGCACTAAAAACGATTTGTATTACACCATATAATAATAAGTACTTGAAATAAAAGTGTATAAGAACCTTCGGATTGGCCAAGTAACCTGGCCTCTTGATTTGCCGCTCCAGTTGTTATCAGTGGCTGTGGCGGAGCGGCAGATACAGATACTCAAAACGTTGTCGTCGCTCGGCGGCCTTTGTAGTTGCCGCCTTTAGTTGCACTTACATGTGAAAGGTGGGAATGGACTCGAGGAGGATCCGCCGAACCCAGAGGCGGGCGGGGGTTTGGCGGAGGGAAGGGAACTCCCCTTAATGCCATGTCCAGCAAATCGTTTTGACCATAACCCCCTCACCACCAGCGGAAAACGAGCACAATCAGTTTGCGCTTCATTTCATCGGTTTAATATGCAGCACAAAAAAATTGTTTGTCTTTATTATCGCAGGGGAAAAGGAGACACACACATCCTGGCGGTATGCACACCCTTTTTTCGCATCGACTGCAACTGTCGCCAGCGGCTTTCGAGGCCTCTGATCATCTGCGGCTTCCTTCGACTTCAGCTGCATTGTCTTGGGTCGTCTTGGGTTGCTGGTTATTGATCATCGGGTGGGGGTTAGGGGTATGGGCTACATTCGTATCGATTCGCGAGCACGTCAGAGCTCTGACGTCGCGACGTCAGCCAGACATTCAATAATATTCAAATCACCAGCCAAAAAAAACAAATCTTGCGCCAAAAACCATGCAAAAAAATTGGGAATGGAGCAAAACCAAGCTGGGATACCCTCACCAAATACAGAAATGAAAAATTAATTTATAATTAAAAACAGAACAGAATTTTTTTTATATTTCCCTTTAATTATAGTTTCAATACTAAAGATTGCTTATCCGTAACTAATATTACAGTACACAAACCTTATTTGGTTAAATTGATTGAATGTAATAGTAAAATAGTTCCAACCCATGGAGTTGTCAATTGGACCAACGAAGTAGTTACTCTACCAAGAACAAGATACTCACAACTTAAAACTTTAAGATAGGTTTACTATTAATAGTAACCGAAGCAACAATAAATTACATATTACTATTTTTAATAGCTGTTAACCTTTATTATAGTTCTACAACTATTTGTGTTGGTCAATTTTACCCATGTCATTTTTTTTTAAGTATAAAATAATACCATTGAAGTAGTCTTAATTTTCATAAAATATGTTGAATAGGTTCCTAAAAACAAATATTTAAAACATGTAAATCTAAAACTAACAGAGTAACTTTTCAAAGAGCTAGGAACATCGGCTAAGGTTGAAAACACCTTTCAAGATTCTCCGAACTAGGTTTATTTTTATCGCTCTTATGACAACCTTTTATGCCATTTCGCATTCTACAGGCCTTATACCCACAATATTTGCTCTCGACGAAGTGTAACGTATGGAAAGCAAAAGCAAAATGAGGCAATAATACATTTATGGAGCTATCGTCTAGACATTCGGCAATGCCGCCAGTGACGAAAGCATTTGGATATCGGAATCGCAGAGCGATAAAGTGCGACCCCAGAACAAAGCCACAGAAAATAAAGCGGCACAAAAAAGCGTTATCAATGTAATCAAATGATATTGATTATTCACTTCTGTCTGACTGGCCGACTACCTGCCTGCCCAATGCCAAATGTTAATGTTCTCCCGGTCTGCTTTCAGTCTGCCTGCCCCTGGCATTTGTGTAGAATTAATGGCAAATCATTTATAATCCGACAGACAAACAGTCGAAGCCACAAAGCTTCCACCTTGACCGTCGGCATCTGCAGTGTGCATAAGCACAGTTGAGCTCAGATGAATAGGGCTGGGAATTTAAAATATATTTTCTTTAATTTTCTAAACTATCAAGTGTTATTTAACTATTATAGGCCAGCCTATCTTCTTCTAATATGATTATAAAGGATATTTTTCCATTGTATATATAATATAGTAAAGTTGTAAAGGGCTGACAACTTGAAATATATTTCTTTAGTTTTCTAAACTAACAAGTTTTTATTAAATATTATATTCCATCTTATTTTCTTCTAATGTGATTATAAAAGATATTTTTCCATTGTATATATAATATAGTATAATATTAGTAATTCCATTTTACAAGATTATTCAGAAATATTATTGTTTTTATTATTCAAAGGGGTTCTTAAAACTCTTAAAAATTATAAGAATAAATAAAAAATAAAGTCGCCTATTAATACATATTTTTTTAAAATATTTTTAAGCTCTCAATTTGTGAAGCTGTGCTATTATATTCCCCCAAGCTGTATATATTATGCAATCCGCCAAAGATTGGGTCTGGCTGAGGAGTGGGAACTAAGGAACTTAGTCAGGCGATTAGCTTCCGTTTCAGCGACTGGCTGTGGATGACTTGGCAGCCTTGATAGCCCAGGGATTTCACTAATCGGCGACCGGGGGGCATGGTGGCAGCCTGAATTTGTATTCTAGGTCATTAGGGGAACAAGAACACCAACAACGCTGTGGAGGGCACACGAAAACCATTCCAGAAACCCAAGAACCAGACGGAAGAGGAGCGTTGGTGTCGCCGGGACTGGCAAAGGCATGCCAGGGAATATGTTTAATTTATTATTAATGGTCGGACCCACCTCCTCCTCTTACGCACGTTTTTTGATGAATTATTTTGGTTGATGCTTTCAGACGTTCCTGGAAAATACCTTACTTCCAAAAAATTTGGGATCCGAATTAAATTGAATCAAACAGAGAACAGGCCGTCAAGGAAATGGAAATGTTATTTAACACGGCAAACAGTGCTGCCATTTTGTTCCTTTTCCTGATGAACGTGTCTCTTTTGAAACGGGTCTTAATAAATAATATATAAAAATTTCTAATACATGAACGGTTTATACCTTTAGGCTGCTAAGTTACAGAAAATATCAAGGGTAATTAAAACATCTGGGTTTCTCAACGACTGAATGTAATTTAATACTCCGATATCTTGACATAAAATTTAACTGAGGCTCTCAAAACACTATTTATACTCCATTCGGTGTAAAGGGCATAGGCACCATTTGGTATTGGTATAAATCGTACGAACTCCTTTTCCAGATTACCGGTAAACAACTTATCTACTATGATATCGTGCTATCAAAATCAATGATTAGAATTAATTGTTACTGAAATAACTTAACTTACATTATAGGGACATGTGTGATTCATATTGGAACTCCTCTGGAATGTTCTATAAAACATTTGAGCAATTATGTTATCCTGTTTCTTCATAAATTTGCAGCCATCATAGGATAGGTCGGGAAAGAATACTTTGTAACCATTGTCAAAACGCCTAAACTTCACCTTGATCTTAAAGCAACATAAATAAAGTGATTTATTATGAAATAAGTGTGTTGATTGAGTCTCAGCTCACCCAACTTTCAGCAATGGGAAACTTGTATATTTTTGCGTGGATGTTGATATACTTATGAGTTCGGTTAACCGCCTTAATTTGACACGTAGGAAAACTTAGATAGTCCAAATTATACGAACTGCAATTCAGGTTGGTAAATGTCACGTATCCCATGCAGATCTGGATAAAAAAATAAATCTTGCAAATTCGGTTTTAACAATTTTTTCCGATTACCGTTGCCAGAGACATCCATAACTTAACCAGCAGTAACTTCCACATCTCGCTTTAAACTGTTTTCGATCATTGGTTTATCCATTTTATACCAAAAAGGTCATTAATTCAACTAAAAGCCGTAAAAATGTTTTGCTGTTTAAACCTTTTAATTGCTTTAAATGCTTATTTTTATTGCATTTTTGTATTATTTGACCCAATCTCTGATTTTCACAGATGTTATCCTTTTAAGTATGCCCACACGAATAGTTGAGAGGTTTCCTTTCCTAACTATATAATTTATACAAATTTGACATTCATTTATTACGTAATCTGTAAATTACAATTGTAGATTCTAAGGATTTCGGATTTTCTTAAAAAGCGGTTTTATTTTAGTACACTTAAAGAACCTATTTTTTGGTTTTAATAACATACATGGATTTTAGTACATTCATCGTGCAAAAGTTTACAATTATTTTTATAATTTAGTTTCGCCCTGGCGTTATTTTTACGTAAAAATTTACGAAAGCACGAACAATATTATAAACAGACCATTCGGAATAAAGAGCATAATCGCCATTCATTATTGGGATGTGTTTCATGATATCCGAATCAACATTTCCAGTCCAAAGATGATCAACAATTATGTCGTGCTTAGGTAAACTGTTTGTTAGAACGCCACAGGTACTATAATTTTTATTTACTTACATTGACGGGACATGTGTGATTAAGGTTGGTACTGTTCTTGTATGTATTATACAACAGTTTTAAAATTGGATTTCCTTGGTGTTTAAGGAACCGGCAGCCATCGATCGTTACGTCTACGAAAAATGGCTTATAGCCATGATCAAGACGCATTAACTTCACCCTAACCTGCAATCGTAAGAAATTTAAAGTACACGTTTTCCTATGTGTTTTTCTAAACTCACCGTTACATTATCCACTGGTAATTGATAAAGATTTGCATGAAGATCAATGTACTTGTGAGTACGGTTCACAGCCTTAATATAACATTTTTCAAAATTGGTAAAACGAATATCCTTTGTGCCGCACTTTAGATTGGTGAACGTCATATAACTGAAAATCACCTAGGTTATTGGAACGGGCTTATTCATCTTCATTTGAATACTCTTTAAGCTTTACCATTACAGATTCCAAAATAATAAATATATATAGAACAATTTTCATGTCGATATTTCCCCATGAACTTAAAGCCGACAATGTCTATATTTTGGTTGAATCATTTGATCAAATATGGTTTCTTATAATGGGCTGACCCTATTACCAAATGTAGATATAATTATAGATTGCTCATTCAGCTAGCGATATTATATGATAGGATCAGTTCACTGACAAACACAATTTTTATTCTACTACGAGATTAAAAGTATAAATAAATCATTTAAAGTTAAGTTGTTTAGAAACCACTCAAACAAAGTAAAAGTTGTTAGGGATGCGATTGTAATATAATAATAAATTATAATAGTTCTCAACTTTTTGATTAAGTTTAAGATCATCAAGAATTTGCTCAAGTACTATTGATTTTATCAAAATAAGGTACGTTTTAGCAATTTTCGTTTTAAGCTCGTTATATTTTAAATTCCAATTAATTATTTATTATCCGTATGTATATATTTATAATAGCTCGAACAATATTATGTGCGGACCATTCCGAAAAGATAGCATAATCGCCATTTTTTAAAGGGAGGTTTTTCAAAAGTTCTCCTTCAAGGTTTCCAGTCCAAAGGTGGTCCACAATTAGGTCGTGCTTTATTATTTTTTTAGAAATTATTTTTTTTTAATTAGCTCTTGATCAAGATACTTACATTGTAAGGGCATGTGTGATTGAGATTGGAACTACTCTTATACGCATCAAAAATCATTTTCACCATGGGTTGCCGTTGGTTTTTAAGGAACTTGCAAGCGTCAACAGTGACATCAACGAAAAATGGCTTATAGCCATGATCTTGTCGCATAAACTTTACCTTAACCTGCAAGTGATTAGCAATTCAAAGCTCAAGACGTTACGGATTTTTATTTGAACTTACTGTGGCATTATCCACGATTTTTTGATAGAGATTTACGTGGAGATCGATATACTTATAAGTACGGTTTACCGCTTTTATGTAACATTTTGAAAAGTTTGCGAACTTAATGTCTTTTGTAGCGCACTTTAGATTGGTGAACGTCACATGGGTGAGGATCGTCTGGTTGTAAATATACGTTTATTTAACTGAAATTAAATATCCTGGTAATTTTACCGTCAGAGATCCCAAAATTGTTATTACAAGAAAACACGTTCGCATGGTGATCTTTCCTAAATGGATTTAAAGCCAACAATGTTCACATTTTTGTTAATTAGTTTTCACATAACGACCATTCACATTACTAAAAATGTGAAGGTATTTATGGAGAACGCATATTTTGTTAACGATATGTTAAGATTGTATCAATACACTGACAAAAATTTAACCAACTTTGGTCTACATATTTTGTAAAAGTTTTAGTTTGGAGGAACTCTTTTATATTTGGGGTTTTATGCAGTTTTTATTGTGATTTTGATTGAAATTTACGTGGATCCCAGTCCAAAGCTTACATAAATTATTTGTATATAAATAAATATATAAAATATTAAACAAAAAATTGTTGTAAAGCCAACTTGAAAAACAAATGTATAATTCAATTTGTTTATTATTTTCAGTAATTTTTGTTGTCTTTTTGGCAAAATACCTAATTTATCTTCCTTGAAGTAACAACACTATCGAGCCCTCGATTTTTTACACTATTTCATTTTATCTGATATTCTAATATATATATTTATAAACGCACGGACAATGTTATATGCAGACCATTCAGTAAAAACGGCATAATCTCCGTTTATTATGGGGATGTATTTCATAAGTGCCGTTTCAATATTTCCAGTCCAAAAATGGTCCACAATTATGTCGTGCTTAATTTGTTAATATTGTTAGTAAAATAGGATCAATAAATTTGTAATCGAGTTACTTACGTTATATGGACAAGTATGGTTAATGTTGGAACTATTCTTGTAGATTTCATAAAACGACTTGAGAATAGGTTGCTGTTGATTCCTAAGGAACCTGCATGCATCAAATGTGATATCTATGAAGAATGGTTTATAGCCGTGATCATGTCGCATAAATTTCGCCATAATCTGCAAATTAATAGAATCTTCCAGCTTATAATTTTTCTAAACTTTTTTAACTTACTGTAATATTATTAACTGGTACTTTCAAGAGATTTACATGAATATCGATGTACTTGTGAGTACGATTTACCGCCTTGATGTAGCATTTTTCAAAGGTAGCGAACTTTCTATCTTTTGTGCCACACTTCAGATTGGTGAACGTCACATGGGCTTGGATCCTCTAGGTTGAAGAAAATTGGTTTACTGATCTACGCTTAATGATCTTTATAGTTTTACCGTTAAGGATCCCAAAATGGTCAACGTATAAAGAAGCACTCGCATGATGATCTGTCCCAGTTTGATTGAAAACTAAAAGTATATAGTATTGTGTTAAATGATTTAAGCTAACGAGCTTTAACCTAATGGCCAGGCCCATTAACAGTCGTACAGTTCAATATTACAAAATTGTATTAAGATCTTGTCTGTTGAGTCATACAAAATTTAACCGCAATAATATAATATTATTCACCGAAAAAAATTTAGGCAACAAACCAACTTGTACATCTTTTTAAAATATATTTTCTATATTTACATATCCATTTATAACAACTTCAGTTAGTTATTTTAAAGTAAATATTAACAAACAAACGAGGAATATTCGAAACGTACCACGTCGAAAACAATGCATAATCCCCGTTGGGTACGGGAAGATATCGCAGGAACGCCTTTTCCAGATTGCCAGTCCAAAACTTGGTAACTGAAATATTATGCTAAATTGACAATAGTTAATCAGGAAACCAAAATTGAAAATATACTCACATTATAGGGACAGGTATGGTTTAGGTTTGTAGCATCGATGAACGTTGAATGTATTTCTTTTAAAAATGTCAATGATCTTTCGTTTGGATTCCTCATATACTTGCAAAAATCGTACTTCATGCTCATAAAAAATGATTTGTACCCATTGCCATATCGCATGGGTTCTAAGTTAATCTGCAGTTTTATAAATTTCTTAAAAAGTTGTTTTTAAAAATTTAGAACACTTACCATTATATTGTTTATGGGAAGTATATTAAGCGCTATCTCAAGATCTATGTACTTATGTGTTCGGTTTACTGCCTTGATATGACAGACTTCAAATTTTCCAAACTTCCTGTCGAACATTTCACACTTCAGATTAGTGAAGCTCACATGACCTAAAGAGCCCTTTAGTGCAAAAATAAGGATATGATTATACTTTTGTAAGAAGTAGCTTACTGTTGCCAAGCAGGCTAACATCACTTTGATCATCCACATCTCAAAAGTTATAACGTAAACGTTCCTTTCGAAACTAAAACTTTCCAAATGTTTAGTTGTACTCTTGCTATGCATTCAAATTTTATGGCACTTAAACATGCTAATAATATTGCTTTCATTAGCTATTGATAACAATCGATAATGGATACTATGCAAAAGGTTTTTGTATTTTTTTGTTAATTAAGTAATTATAAAATGAGACAACGATAATTATATTGCAAGTAGCTTTATTTCGAAACGTCATTTATTTTTAAAGAGCTGTAGGCAAACGTTTCAAATTTAAGAATATTCCAAAGAAAATATAAAGCCATCAGGTCGTATATCTTCTAAAACTGAAACAATCATTATTGTTACTGGTTCAGACACGTTTCTACCAACCTTTTGAATTTACATATTTCTACCCAGACAAAAATAAAAACAAACAAATAAGAAATCCAGACAAAAACTAAAGAGAATCCGTAAAATTAATGTGCCCGCCAAAGAGATGACTTAAGTGAGGACCGGCCGAGAAGTTGGAAATGGAAATAAAACTGGCCAGAAGAAGTAGCAGTCCCGTCCACAAAAATACACTCCAGACAAAAAGAATTTTATTGGCCTTCACTTAACGCTCATAAATTTGTCTGCTGCGAAATCTGCGAGACGAGACCAGAAAGCAAGGCAACAGAAATTAAAAGAATATTGTTTATAGTGCCACGCTTCCGCAGATGTCTGGAACTGGTTCGGAAACAGAGAGTTCGCCTCTCGAGGAGGCGAGAGGCGTTTTGTAAGAGTTTCCCATTAAAATATTGTTGCAGAACACACCAGAGCCCAGAACCCAGAGCCCAGATCCCGGATCCCTCCCATTTCTTGTTGCTTCCAGTGGCCGCGGGTGAGTGCCGAACTTCACGCACAAATCTGATTAAAACTCGGTCCCAGTTAATGAACCAATACCCCGACTATTGCCCTTGTCCGCTCCCCGTTCCTCGCATCTCTGAGATGCAGTTCGGGAAGTCTGCATCTGGATGGACAGGGACTGCAGCAGGAAGATGGCCAGCCAGTCGGATGCACAGATAGCGAGGCCTCTAAAAATAGCCACCAGAACCACATGTTGGTCAAGTTTTTCACTGCCTTCACCGGATTTTAATACCCTCAAAGAGGAGTGTACAAGAATATTACTCAGCATTCGATTAACAACCAAGAAGTCACTGACAGATACTTATTTTCTAATTTAAATTTCAGATGATATTCATTAAAAAGATATATAAATAAATATATTTTTTATATTGGATAAAACTATCATGGCTTAGCACAAAGAAATCAAATCAATCAATTACCACAATTCAAATCAAAATTATAGATATGGCATAAATGATGTATTCTCTCATATAAATAAAAACCAGAACCAATAAAAAACAAGGTATCAATTTATTAACATAATATTTTTAATAATATTAAAAATATATTAAATATAACTTTTTAGTTTGAGTGTTTATGTCTAGTTTTTTGAAATACCTATTATTTTCAATACGCTACGATTGCCTTTATCATAATATAAATTGTTTTCACTAGAAACTATTATAATGAGCTATACGGAAACATATTAGATACTTATGAATATAAATTCAATTGTTTTGTTTACTTATCAGCCCAAAAGGTTTTAGATTCCAGTGTAGTATTATAGTTTTAAATAATGAAGCGAAGCATTTATTAAGTTTGTCGAAATTTGGGATAAAATGGGGATAGATGAACAGCCTGAAAGAGCATT